TCTTCGTCCGCCGGATTCGCAGCAGAAAGCTGAAGCAATGGGCACCATTTTTAAATCCTTTATATTAAGTTCACTTGCTTGCTTGCTTGCGCGCTTACGACCGTGCAAATCTTTCGGTCGATTTTTAACCCACTTCCCGTGATCCAATCGAGCTGACATTTTGCACACAGACTCGTGCGTGACAATTTATTTTCGTGGAACATTTTTTCCATAACTTTACACTTTTTAGGATTTTTTTAAATATTTAATTAACAATTGCTTAATGGTGGCAGGCAATCATCTGACCCATAGGTGGCAGCCATCTCAAGCCAGAGGACGAGAGGACTCTAGCCGCCACGCATATAAAGGATTTAGTGAAAAACTTTGTTTTTACGGATACATTTTTCAAACCGCAGACCGCGGTTTTACTCCGTATTCTTGTACAGGGAAATTGAGTTTTCATGTCCATTCTAGATTGAAGCTTTCGTGACTGCAAGGATTCATACTCTTAGGTTTTTTTCGGTAAAGTCACGTAGGTAAAAATAAATAATAAAAAGAATAGAAATAATAATATAAATAAAATAATAAATCGCGACGTTTCGGAGGCAACACAAGTCTCTGTCATCAGGTCGGACCGTCACAGATAAATTTACTGTATCAAGTGAGGCAAAATTCCAAGAGACAAGCCCTTAAATACAACTTCTTGGTTCTTTCGGTAATGTCACGTAGAATGGAAATAATAAAATAATAAAAATAAAACATAATAAAATACAATTCTCACGACGTTTCGGCCACAACGCAAGCAGCCGTCCTCAGGTGAAGACCAGGTCTGTCGGGGAGACAGCTGAGGGCGGCTGCTTGTGTAGTAAGTTAGAGACGATGTCGGAGTTGAGGCACACTCTGTTTATTAACCCAGGGACAGGCACAATAGTTGAAGGGGTATCGGGCCCCTTCACCCGTACTATGGGAAACCCACCCTAGTACTAAGCCCTCTGTCCTGTTCCCCAGTCCTCCTCTACTGGGCTACGGGAGGCTGACTGATCTGGCCCTGGCAAGCACAGATCTCGGCACCAGCTAACCAGCCTTACCCTGATAAGGGCAGCGGTCTGGGAGCTTTGGGCCGCGCCGCTGGCTTACCCGGCTCGGCCCTTATAAGGACGGCGAGACCGGGGAGTCCCAGGGCCTAATCTCCGAGCCTTCGATCTTCACTGGTCCGCTTCGTGTAGAACTGCCCCGAGCTCTCTGGCTCCCGACCTTTTATAGGGATCACCTCCGAGGGCTGGGGCGTGGGCAATAACGGATGCGGACGTCGGTGTGACCACCCGTGTGTGTGAGTGCCAACACCCCTGTGTTTGTTGTCCGCCGTTTCTCCAGTAATAATCCCTACACTTGCGTTGTGGCCGAAACGTCGTGAGAATTATTTTATTATGTTTTATTTTTATTATTTTATTATTTCCCTTCTACGTGACTTTACCGAAAGAACCAAGAAGTCGTTGACAGGTATGCAACCCCCACATCCCTCGTCCCACCGTCGCCTCTGTCCGCCCAGCAACACGAATGGGTTTCACTGCAGTTCCGTCTGCGATCGCGGTGGCTCGGAGATGTCATCCACCTCGCTCGGTCTACAGGAGGTCGTGGGTTCGATCCCGACCCTGACGCCTGCTGCTGTATATTTGGAGTTTGCGTCTCTCTCTCTCATCATCATCATCACGGTGGCTAGGAGATGTTAACTACCTCGCCTGGTGTACAGGAGATCGTGGGTTAGATCCCGACCCTGACGCCTGCTGCTGTATATTTGGAGTTTGCGTGCCTCTCTCTCTCTCATCATCATCACGGTGGCTAGGAGATGTTAACTACCTCGCCTGGTATACAGGAGGTTGTGATTTCGATCCCGACCCTGACGCCTGCTGTATATTTGGAGTTTGCGTGTCTCTCTCATCATCACGGTAGCTAGGAGATGTTAACTACCTCGCCTGGTATACAGGAGGTCGTGGGTTCGATCCCGACCCTGACGCCTGCTGCTGTATATTTGGAGTTTGCGTCTCTCTCTCATCATCATCATCACGGTGGCTAGGAGATGTTAACTACCTCGCCTGGTGTACAGGAGATCGTGGGTTCGATCCCGACCCTGACGCCTGCTGCTGTATATTTGGAGTTTGCGTGCCTCTCTCTCTCTCATCATCATCACGGTGGCTAGGAGATGTTAACTACCTCGCCTGGTATACAGGAGGTTGTGAGTTCGATCCCGACCCTGACGCCTGCTGTATATTTGGAGTTTGCGTGTCTCTCTCATCATCACGGTAGCTAGGAGATGTTAACTACCTCGCCTGGTATACAGGAGGTCGTGGGTTCGATCCCGACCCTGACGCCTGCTGCTGTATATTTGGAGTTTGCGTCTCTCTCTCATCATCATCATCACGGTGGCTAGGAGATGTTAACTACCTCGCCTGGTATACAGGAGGTCGTGGGTTCGATCCCGACCCTGACGCCTGCTGCTGTATATTTGGAGTTTGCGTATCTCTCTCTCATCATCATCATCACGGTGGTTAGGAGATGTTAACTACCTCGCCTGGTATACAGGAGGTTGTGAGTTCGATCCCGACCTTGACGCCTGCTGAATATTTGGAGTTTGCGTGTCTCTCATCATCACGGTGGCTAGGAGATGTTAACCACCTCGCCTGGTATGCAGGAGGTTGAGTTCGATCCCGACCCTGACGCCTGCTGAATATTTGGAGTTTGCGTGTCTCTCATCATCATCATCACGGTGGTTAGGAGATGTTAACCACCTCGCCTGGTATGCAGGAGGTTGAGTTCGATCCCGACCCTGACGCCTGCTGAATATTTGGAGTTTGCGTGTCTCTCATCATCATCATCACGGTGGTTAGGAGATGTTAACCACCTCGCCTGGTATGCAGGAGGTTGAGTTCGATCCCGACCCTGACGCCTGCTGAATAGTTGGAGTTTGCGTGTCTCTCATCATCATCACGGTGGTTAGGAGATGTTAACCACCTCGCCTGGTATGCAGGAGGTTGAGTTCGATCCCGACCCTGACGCCTGCTGAATATTTGGAGTTTGCGTGTCTCTCTCCCCGTGGTCGCGTGGATTTTTCTCCGGGGTCTTCCGGTTTACCCCTCCACATTTAGAATCAACACCACGCGTTTAGAGTATTTGGCTGCTATAAATGTGCACACTAGAAGCAACTTCGTTGGGCAATCATTTGCGAGAGCCAGGTCGCTTCTGATTTTTTTTAAAAAGCTACATTGCTCAGTTGGCCTTACCTGGTAAAAAAATATAGTCATCATGATCATCATCTCGCTGTCTCAGCATCTTCACCCCCTCGCTTGCGCGTCGGTGAGCGTGTGCGAGAATGTATTGGTTGGACAACCCGACGAAAGTATTCCTCTTCGTTTAAAAAATAATACGCTCGCAAAAAAACATTAAACGCAAAATTTGAGGGGCAAAACGCCATATTTGCGGAATACACCACGCCGCCGTTGACCCTGGCCATTGACCGAGAAACCCGACGTTCCTACCAGCTCCCTCCGCAGGAATGTGTTAACGCCTCCGGAAAGAGTCTCAGTTGCAGTGGCGACTCGTGACGTGTGCACGAGGTGGGGCTGTTGTCAGCTTTTATGAACGATCTATGACACACCCAAGGAGAAACCGTCTTCGGGCCTTGACACTCTCTGGACTTGAGAACACAAATCGTGGACGTACAAACGTTGAACTTTTGGCAGCGTATGTAGCCGCAACCGTGCCTATCGGATGGGTGTGTGGGCGAGTGGCTATGAGAGTGGATGAGTGAGTGACTATGCGAGTCTTTTTGTGCGTATTTTCAACTTTTCGCACCGTACGTAGCCAACCGTGCTAAAAAATCGCAGGTGCGGGTGTTCAACGCGATAACGCCACGCCGCATCGAAATCGCTTGGTTTGCGACAATCTCCTTGCTTTAAATTTCGATTTAAAGATTTCGTGACTGCAGGGATTCATCTTCTTGGTTTTTTCGGTAAAGTCACGTAGAAGGGAAGTAATACAATAATAATAAAACATAATAAAATAATATATTATGTTTTATTTTTATTATTTTATTACTTCCCTTCTACGTGACTTTACCGAAAAAAACAAGAAAAATCTCCTTGCTTCAAAAGAGACACGAAATGGATTCACGGCGCTCGCACGAATTCGATTGACGGCGTTGGCCGTTGTTGCTGCTGCCGCCATGCAGTGGGCACCATCCCGCGTGCGCACGGATTCCACCGTTGTCCGACGTTTCGCTCCGCGTGCTGATAAGCTTTTCCAGGGAGCGAACCATCGGACATCCAATGCCGACAAACACGCGGTAATAACAAACCCAAGAACACTCAAAAAACAAATCTAGGTTTTTTTTCTCTTCTCCAAAATGCGGGCATCTGTGCAGAGAAATCGCTGGGGGGGGAAACAAAAAAACTTTTCATTCAACAGTAAAGTCACGTAGGTAAAAATAAAATTAATAAAAAAATAAAAACTATTTTATTAATTTTAATTTCATTTTTTACCTACGTGACCTTACCGAAAGAACTTAGAGTATGAATCCTTGCAGTCACGAAAGCTTCAAATCTAGAATTTTCATTCAACCTCCACTTGTCTGGCGGATGGAACGCGCCCCCTTGTGGATGACCAGTGCCACAGACACTGCTGATTTTGAACGCAGCAGCGCTCAAGCTGCCCCCAACCCCACACGTTTTCACAGATTGGGGGGGGGGGGAAGCAAGGCTGCGACATGGAAACCGTGCAGGAAAAAAAAATCGGAGCTTGTGCCGACAATGCCAGCGACAAAAGAAACACCGACGCACAACGCAATCATGCCGACACAGACTCACGTAGTCACTCACCCACACACACTCGCCCATCTCCGATTAGCACGGCTGGCTATGTACGGTGCAAAAGAAGTTCAACATACACACAGACTCACAGTCACCCACTCAGATAGTCACTCACCTACTCAATACATCACGACAGTATCACAAATCAACGGCAAGTAATTGTTTAAATACATTATTTTTTATTTAAGTCTTTGGAAGGAAAAAAAACAATCTCTGGTAACGATACGATTATGATTTTCACTCGCGATTATTTTTTTTTGCATAAAGTATATCCCGCATAATCCCATCTCCCCCAAAAAAAGTTTGCTTCGGAGAAAATAAAGAAATAGAACAGCAGAATCCAAAGCGACCGCCTAATTTACGACAATCAAATCGACGCGCGCAGCAAATTCTTAAGGCGAATCCCAAAGCAAATTTCAAGGTGCCGTTGGCACCGATTTTTTTCTTTTATGCGGCTACATCAACATATTTCATTGCTTAGTAAAGACCAACGTTAATCTCGTTGGAGAGAGAAAAAAAAATCACCTGAAGTAAAAGAACAGAGCCCAATGATTTGTGAACGGTTTTGAGGAGTACTACAGTTTTCCCCACGGTAACACAATTAACCGCAGCGGTGCCATCGCAGGGCGTGTGATAGTAGGGGATGGCACAATTAACCCCAACAGCACCAACCCAAGGCGTGTGATGGTAGGGGGTGGGCTCAATTAATCCCAGCGGTGCCATCGCAAGGCGTGTGATGGTAGGGGATGGCACAATTAACCGCAGCGGCGCCATCGCAAGGCGTGTGATGGTAGGTGATGGCACAATTAACCCCAGCGGTGCCATCCCAAGGTGTGTGATGGTAGGGGATGGCAAAATTAACCGCAGCGGTGCCATCGCAAGGCATGTGATAGTAGGGGGTGGCACAATTAATCCCAGGGGTGCCATCGCAAGGCATGTGATGGTAGGGGGTGGGCTCAATTAACCCCAGCGGTGCCATCGCAAGGCATGTGATAGTAGGGGGGGTGCACAATTAATCCCAGCGGTGCCATCGCAAGGCGTGTGATGGTAGGGGGGGGGGTGGCACAATTAATCCCAGGGGTGCCATCCCAATACGTGTGATGGTAGGGGATGGCACAATTCACCCCAGCGGTGCCATCGCAAGGCATGTTATAGTAGGGGGGTGGCACAATTAATCCCAGCGGTGCCATCGCAAGGCGTGTGATGGTAGGGGGGGGGGGTGGCACAATTATCGCAGCGGTAAGGCGTGACATCGTAGGGGGTGGCACAATTAAACCCAGGGGTGCCATCGCAGGGTGTGTGACGGGGGAGGGTTGAGGAGGAGGAGACACGGGGGAGGACAAGGAGCATCTCCGCAGACTTGAGTGTCCGTCGTCTCAGATGATGGCGTCCGTGTCTCCCCTGGAGACAAAAAAAGAAAGTTTAATCGGGGGGGTCTCGTTACAGAGCAAAACCCGCACGTTCACACCCCTCGGCTGTCCGCCAAATATCATCAATCGGTCGTTATTCGAGACGTAAATCAAACTTCACGATACCGTCAGTCGCCACAACAATAAACTTTTCGCATCACTTTTAAAATCACGTGACGCCCACGTCAAATTTTACAGCATGGCGATTGTCGCAATTATCGGTTAAAGTAACTTTGTACGGTAAATTTTTATTTTACCGTGTTAAGAGTTGCTTTGCTGCGCTGTTAACGAATAAAGGCGATTTAAAAGCTCTTAAAACTGCAGTTCGATCAACGTACGACCGGTGCAAGTCTTCCGAATCTCGTTGCAACTTATGACGCTAATAAAAGCATGCCTAAAAAACAACATGCCGCCAGGTAAGCTAAAATTAATTAAACCGACTACGAAAATGCTGAGGTCACGTAATAATCCCCCCGCCGTCAACTGTTCTGGCAAACATTCTACCAAGCACACATTTTAAAAGATAATAGCCATTTATTTACTACCTTAATTAGGGAGTTTGTCATTTCACATATATTTATTGACCAGAGACAGAATATTAAAATATAGAAATACAATGCCCGTCACGATATTTTGCAAAACGAACAAGACATTTATAGTGGACATTTAAATCGTGCGATTCAGCATCACCGTGCCGCGGCAAACCTAAGCTACGAGTTCACGCCCTGTGCTAAAATCACCGCAATGGAAACTCGAGGTTTTTGTTTAGATCGCGTAAATATAAATGTGTCGTTAAAACCGCCACTACCCTGCCACAATTAAGTAAAGTTTGTCACGTAAAGACAACGTCCCCCAATTTGTTACTAGCTCAGCCACGCACCGCTGTGTTGGACTCTGGCTGTACGTCTCATGATACTGGTTGTAGTTGTGAACATCACAAATTGTAAATGTTGTAGTGGGTTTACACTCCAACACAAACCGGTTCATGCTGAACTAGTAACCAATTTGCACGTTGTGTTTACGTGACAACCCTTACTCATTGGTTATATTGGGTGGTGGGGTGAGTGGCTATGTGAGTGGATGAGTGTATGCATGTGTCTAGAACTTCTCTCGCACCGTACGTAGTCAACCGTGCTAAATCGGAGGCGCGGCCAAGGGCTAATCCTGACAACTAGAACCCCCGCTTAGCACCACCTACTGGATACATCCAACTTACCTCCGACAACACTTATAGCTGTACAACATTAGACAGCATTTTAGATACACAATTTACAATGCCATTTGATAAGAAAACACATTTCGACTTTGCTGCTCCACATTTTTATAGACTACCCTTGCTGCACATTTACAGCTCTGTTCCTGCCACCCCTTCTCTTAAATCCCCATCTCTAGGTCCCCTAGTAAACCAAAACATAGGAGATTACTGGGACAGGCACCTCATTTTCTCTTCTGGCCACCTCTTGCTTTCATTTGTTTGTAGTTTTTTTTGTCCACCCATTCGCGATCCCGTACCCGTCAACCCCTTATCAGCGCCCTACCTTATTACAGACCGATTCAGACCTTATTGGTCACCTCCGTGCCCCTTACGAATCTCAACGTTGATCCATACCAAGGGTGGCACAGTCGGGGTTTTTTACAATCGGGTTTAATTGTCTTTTTATATTAAACCCGATCATCTGAGATTGGGAGAAATCCGGTTTAATCGGTTCTAATTGCAGAACCGCACTTCGCCAACTTCTCAACGATGGGCTTCATCCATTCCAAGCTAAGGAACTCACTGGCGCCCACGAGTGTGGAGGAGAAGCTCGTGTTCATCAAGACCAACCTGCCCGCTGCATTCTACCAGAGGTGTGGACTCGAGTCATGTGACTTGGACTCGAGTCAGACTCGAGTCATGTGACTTGGACTCGAGTCAGACTCGAGTCATGAATTTGATGACTTGAGACTCGACTTGGACTTGCATAACAATGACTTTGTCCCACCTCTGCATTCTACGACTATCCCGTGCCCGATGGCCACGAGTACGATAGCAGCACCGACGAGGAAGCAGCCTAAGCCTATCAGAGTTTCGTATTCATTAAACCAGGTTCTAATTCCCCGAAATCGGGTTTAATTGTATTAATGAAAAACCCGATGCCTGCCGCTGGAAAAATCGGGTTTTTTCCACCCATGATCCTAACAAAGTCCCATCACAAGGGAGAAGCACAAAACAAATAGACAAAAGAAAATCGTCCGTATTGAAACAGATGTACGCCGTATGGACCTGAAAACTCAATTTCCCTCTACAAGAATACTGGCAAACCGTATGGATTGACAGCTCTGCGATTCACGCGCGCTCATTAGTTTCCGACCGCTAAAAAATTACCGACTATTTGCCGCGTGCGACGAGTCAAATAAACGCGACATCCGAACAAAACGGAGACGCCACACAAAGTGATTTGTTACAGAAGCACAACACAGCAGGTGCACCGCAGGTACAACAGCCGCCGTTCGTCACCGAGTGGCGGTGACGTCACCACGGCACTTGTGCCAGTCTGCGCGCACTTTGAAAGGCCACGTGAATTGTCAAACGTGCGCCGGCAGGTCACGTGACAGACCCAGGAGTGCCATGGGTTGACCGAGATGACTGGCAGATGCGCCATCTGTTCCCCCCTTCCTATGCCAACTCGCTGCGTTTTAACCGTCCTGGGCGCTCCGCTCGTTGTTCCGAGCGTCCCTCCTCTGCCCTCCGTCGTTGCTGGAGAGCGACCGACTGCCTCCAACTGCCAGGCAGCAGCGTCCTTCACGAGCCTCATCTGCAGAGGCCGATCTTGACACCACTGGTACCGGACATCGGCCAAAGTCCGCTCAGCTCCACATCATTCCGTCTCTTCCCGAGCCCGCGCACACACACACACACGCAGACAGGAGGAGGAGGAAGAATAAGCAGGGTGAGCCGTGGGGACGAACCTCGCGGTGGCGCGGACCCCACTTACAGGTGCTGGTAGCGCGGGTTGCGCGTACGGAAGTACTTGAAGGCGAAGAACAGCAGCGCCTGCACCGCCACGGCCAGCACCACGCCGCCCACGAAGCTCACGGCGTCGAACGAGCGGACAGACCCGTCCGACGGCACGACGCCCGCGGCCGCTACACGCACACACACGCAACAAAGACAAAGATCCCCCGTGTAGCCTTAACAGACTGTTGGGGCAAGTGATATTTGCGAGGAGCACCTACAAAGGCCGGCACGGTACACAAGGGGGGTGGGTGGCCAGCAACGCGCGAGCACACACACACGCGCGCGCGCGGGAACACACGCACCCACGTGCTCAGACTCGCTCCACCAACTCACCTCGGTGGAACCCCACACCAACCGGCTAACACATGCACAGGCACAGAGACAAATATCCCCCGTGTAGCCTTAACAGACTATTGGGGCAAGTGCTGTGATGCGAGGAGCACCTACGAGGGGTGGGTGGGTGGGCCAGCACCCACCCAACTCCCTCGAGTCAACCAGAACTAGGTGGCCCAGGACTGGTATAAATATTCACCTCTGTTATCGGCTTGGAGCGGGAATCTAACTCAGTCGTTGAGTTCATAGCACGACTTAACTCGCACCAGTTTCTAGTTACACTCCCCACAAGCACCTCTATTCGCACCACACACATGCAAATTCTACAGCAGCAGGCGTCAGTAGTCGGGATCGAACCCACGCCCTCCGGCATCGCAGGCGAAGGAGTTAACATCTTGCCACCTGCCCGCTCGATGGTGCCACACCCATCGCCAGCTACACACACGCATCAACTAGCACGACTCGCCAGCACCCATTAAACGCCTGCTGTTAGCCTCCGCTTCGTCACAGCATCAAGCGTCTCTACGCATCGCGAGCTCGCCGGCGGACGTGACGCCGTGCGTACTCACAGGCCGTGGATGAGGCGTGGGCGGGGGCGGTGGAGAAGGCCGCGGGGCTAGACGTCGTGCCATTGGTGGCGTTGTTGGGCGTCACTGTGGAGGAGTCAGACAAGGTCCGGCATCGCGGACACCACAAGGGATTAGACATCCTCCGATTAGCACGGGTGGCTACGTATGGTGCAAAAGAAGTTCAACGTACAGTCACTCACCCACACACTCTCACCCACACACTCTCACCCACCCACACACCCATCCTCCGATTAGCACGGTCACGTACGGTGCGAAGCAAGTTCAAGGTACGTACATAAAAGGAGGCGGGTTTTTAAGGATAGCCGAGTGGTTCCCAAGGACTCAGAATGGCCGTGTTATACCACCGAGAGCGGCTAGGATTCCAGATTGCAGCTTGTGTTGCATACACAAACAGGCCTCACAGTGCATACAAACGACACCCCAAGTGTACTGCGCGATCCACCTCACGAGGGAGAGTGCCTCGCCGAGTCTCAAGGAAGAGCTGGGGACACCGACGTCGATCAAATGGCCCGAAAATTATCGAATAGACTCCCTTCGTCTTCGATTACCAAGGCAGATCCTACGGTCGGGCGCTGCGGTGGCTTGTAAATCTTGGCTACCCAAGCCTGGAACGCAGGAGGTCGTGGGTTCGATCCCGACCCGGACGCCTGCTGCTGTATATTTGGAGTTTGCGTGTCTCTCTCATCATCATCACGGTGGCTAGGAGATGTTAACTACCTCGCCTGGTGCACAGGAGGTCGTGGGTTCGATCCCGACCCTTACTTCCAGATTTGAAGCTTTCGTGACTGCAAGGATTCATACTCTTAGGTTTTTTCGGTAAAGTCACGTAGACCCTTACGCCTGCTGCTGTATATTTGAAGTTTGCGTGTCTCTCTCATCATCATCACGGTGGCTAGGAGATGTTAACTACCTCGCCTGGTATACAGAAGCTCGTGGGTTCGATCCCGACCCTGACGGCTGCTGCTGTATATTTGGAGTTTGTGTCTTTCTCCCATGGTCGTGTGGATTTTTCTCTGGGTCCTCTGGTTTTTTTCCTCCATTTTTTAGAATCAACATTACGGATGTAAGAGTTTTTGGCTGCTATATATGTTTCCACGTGACAATAAGCCACTTCTCGTTGGGTTATCATTTGTGATAGCCAGGTCGCTTCTGAAAGATCTACATGGCTCAGTGGGCCTTACGTGGCAAAATAAAATAAACAAAGTTTGATAGTTTTTTTGTTTCGTCTCCCGAGGGATGTCCAGCGCGACACGACCGACTGTCGACATCCTCAAGCCCTACCCATCACCTCCCATCCAGAGGCGCACACGGGGAAAACAGAGGTGAGACTTGCGTGTAATCAGATTCGTCGAGTAATCAAAATTATAAATCGGGTAGAGTAATCGACTATTTAAGCCGGGATAGTCTGGAGCACTGTTCGGGGAATTATTTTGGCACGCCAAATCTATTTCATAATCAACGTTGTTGGGTTTAGATCGCGTTTATTTATAAATGTGTCGTAACCCTCCACCACCCAACACGGCCAATCAGTAAAAATGTGTCACGTTGACAAAGACAAATAGTTCACTGCTTTAGCCCACCGGTGTGTTGAAGCCACAACATTTACAATTTGAGTACAACGTGTCGCTGGTAATTGCATCCAGCATCATCGGGCAATTCGCCAGAATGGCTTCAACACACCGGTGGGCTAAAGCAGTGAACTATTTGTCTTTGTCAACGTGACACTTTTTTACTGATTGGCCGTGTCGGGTGGTGGAGGGTTACGACACATTTATAAATAAACGCGATCTAAACCCAAAAACGTTGATTATGAATAATATTGGTCGCGAAAGCCTACGTGTTAAACAAATCTATTTCGCCTTATTTTGTTCTCGCGATTCTGAGTGGTGGTGTACGTTGGGTGGGTCACGTAGCCCGTATGCCCAGCCACAGCATGCCCAAGCAGCTTCTGTTTGCCCGCATAGAGGGGGCTAAACGGGCACAGCACAGGCTGGAGAGGAGATGGACCGATGCGGTACAGGAAGATGTGGAGCCGAGTGAGACTTGCCGAAGACTGGTACCAGCGGTGTCAAGTTTGGCCTCTATGGAGGAGGCTCGTGAAGGACGCCAATTGGCAGTTGAATGCAGTCGCCCTCCAACAACAGCAGAGGGCAGTGGAGCGATGCTCACAACAATAAGCTGAGCGCCAGGCAGATAAAACACAGAAAGTTGGCACAGTGGGGGGCACAGGTGGTGCATCTGCTCGTCATATCAGTCAGCCAATCCATAGCACATGTCTGTCCCGTGACGTCCTATCAGCAAGCCTTCGACAATTCACGTGGCCTGGCACAAACACCGCGGTGACATCACCGATACTTTGCGGCGAATGCCAGCTGTTGTTGTTGGTGCGGTGCTGTGTGCATGCCGTAGTGTATGTGTGTGTGTGGGGTGGGGTGTGTGTGTGTGTTGTGGGGTGCAAAAAGAGTGCGAATAGTGGTTAGGGTTACCAGATGTCCTGAAGGACAGCCAGTCCTTAAGAATACAGGCTACAATAATATTAGTTTATTATGGATATGCATATCTTGCACTCTCGTGGTCGTGCATTACAATGACAAATCCCTACTCCTAGCCTGCCTGGCATTGTTCTGGAAAATAGAGTGAGAAAATAAACCCTTCGTGGTCCTGTGGCCCTCACGTGCAAAACACCAAATTATTTTCTGGGTCCCCTGCGGTATGTGCGGTGTGTGTGCGTTGTGTGTGCGTTGTGTGTGCGTTGTGTGTGCTGTGTGTGCGGTGTGTGCGTTGTGTGCGTTGTGTGCGTTGTGTGCGTTGTGTGCGTTGTGTGCGCGTTGTGCGCGTTGTGCGCGTTGTGCGCGTTGTGCGCGTTGTGCGCGCGTTGTGTGTGGTGTGTGCGTTGTGTGTGCGGTGTGTGTTACCGCTGGACGCGGCTGTGCTGGCATTGTGTGGGCCGGCGGTGCTGGGCGGCACGGTGCTGTTCGCAGGAGAGGGCTTCGCACTCTGCGTTACGTTTGCTGCTGAGAGGCGAGAGAACAACGGGGGGCGGGGGGGGAACAGTAACGTCGTTCAGACGCGTCCTCTACCCCCCACACTACACCCTCAACGCAGCGTCTACTGCCAACTCGCTATTCCCACACCACGAGCCCACACCCTATCCACAATGCTCCAACCCAACCTCTCAACTGCCAACTCTACCCCCACACCCCAAACCCCTACCCCCCCCCCACGGCATATCTTCATACACGCGGCACCCCCATTCCCCACACTCACAACACTCACAACATATCCTCAACTCTCTACCCCCATGCCCCACACCCACCCTCTACCCACACACCCCATTCTCAACTCTGTATCCCCCCCACCCTCCTTTACCCCCAAACTCGTTGACCCCACACGCCTTATCCCCTACCCTCTATCCATCGCCATCCCCTACCTCCACACCCCTACCCAACTCGCTACACAAACACTATACATCAATAAACTCCTGATGCCATCGAATTGATTACCAAACTTGCCACACAGTTAATTATAAGCTTCAGCGTGTACAAAAGTCTTTGTGACGGGTATTGCAAGATCCGACCGTGTCCGTCCAGTGCTCCCTGGAGCTGCATTGGTTTCCATTTGCCGAGCGAATACGTTAGCAGTTCGCACTCATTGCACACAAAATGCGAGCCACAAATGAACCACAATACCTCGCTCATCTCGTCACGCAAACTCCGGTCATCCTCGCAGCAGCAGCAGGTTCTGGCTAATCATCGAAAAAAGATAATGGTCACCGCATCGCGCGCTTTCAGACACGCTTCTACGGCCGTCTGGAACGCTCTTCCTTCCGATATTAGGAAGCCGCTGGAGCTGTGCACTTTTTTTTTAAATCTCGAGTGAAAACTCATTTCTTGAGAACTGCTTTTTGTGTTTAGTTTTGTCATCTTTCCCCCGAACCTCGGATCAGCAGTTGGCTACGTACGGCGCGAAAGACGTTCAACATGCATCCATACATAACATTTTCAGTTCTTCAAATGCAATAGGAAATAGAGATGCTCTACCACCGGTGGTTCAACCTTTTTTGGGCTACTGTAGGGTACTTTCTTGAATTGTTTCAGAGTACCCTCTTTGCCTGACACAACATGGTTCTGAGAAGTAAACAAATGTATCAATCTTGATTTGAAGCTTTCTGGTACGGGCAGCCGGGTATCGGGTAGGGTACGGGTACCCGTTTGCGACCCTGGTGCGGCCGAGTACGGGTAAGGAATCAAAACCCGTTTGCGACCTCTGCCCCATGCTGCCGCATCAGTGCCCACCACCACCCCCACCACCCCGCACGTTCACCTGTGGGTGGCGTCAGCGTGCCGTTCGCTGTGGTGGGCGCAGCGGTGACGTTGGGGGCGATCGCAGTCGAGGCATTGGCCGTCGTGGCAGGAGAGACTGACGGCAATGCACCTGGTCCCGCTCCATCTCCATGGGAATCTGGCGTGGGGGTTCACGACAAGAGTTGGTGGTTAAGACGCTTTCCGACGGAGGTCGAACGCGAACCAGGCGAGAGGGATCAGAAATAGGAACTTTTTTTATACCGGAAGAATCCGATGAGCTACGAAGCTCTTTTTCCCACAGATGCCCGGGAGTTTTCACGGGTGTACAGCAGAAATCAAGAGACCAGGAACACGTTCCTTCGGAGTGGGCAGGTAGGAACTTCTTCTTGGTTCTTTCGGTAAAGTCACGTAGAAGGGAAGTAATAAATTAATAAAAATAAAACATAATTAAATTTCGATTTGAAGCTTTCGTGACTGCAAGGATTCACACTCTTTGGTTATTTCGGTAAAGTCACGTAGAAGTGATATAATGAAATAAAACAAAAATAAAACATAATAAAATAATTCTCACGACGTTTCGGCCACAACGCAAGCAGCCGTCCTCAGGTGAAGACCAGGTCTGTCGGGGAGACAGACGCCGTCTCCCCGACAGACCTGGTCTTCACCTTCTACGTGACTTACCGAAAGAACCAAGAAGATGAATCCCTGCAGTCACGAAAGCTTTAAATCGAAAGGTAGGAACTTGGTTGGACAGCGCATTCGTGCGATCCGTGTCACGCGGCGCAAGCTGTGTGGGGCGGCGCGTCACGTGGTGATGAGCCCGCCCGAAGCGCTCTTCTATGAAATATATAGAGGGCGTGGCTATGCACGACAGACAGACAAATAATCTCTGGTGGGCAGTGTGGAACTGTTGTTTCTACCTGTATAAGTCTCATTTGCATCACACCCAGGGGTCACTGAAAATGGCTAATCAAATAACCTACAGCGTTGAAAAGGAATGTCGTAATCAGGGGGGGCGCAGTCTTGATAACTCTCCTAAAGTTGATCCAAAATACAAAAAAAACTTTAATATTTTTTATTTTACCACTGAGCCTTATCATGTGATAGCCAGAAGTGACCTGGCCATCACAAATGATAGCTCAACGAAGTGGCTTATTATCAGCACGTGTAAATTCATAGTGCACGGGCTTTAAAAAAAACCTACATTTTTGTATGAATCAACCTAAAATAAATACGTAAATAAGATATTAAATACGTGAAAATTATCATAACGCCAAAAAAATACAAATTGGTTATCCGAAACGTAAAATAAAATTAAATTCAATCAGTTTTTTTAATTAACTTACTTTTATCTCATCACTTTACCTCGCTCTCGATGCAGTCGTGAGTTACAGATGTGATTCGCGAATAGCCAAAATCGCAGATTGAAAGTTCGTGAATAACGAGGCAATACTTTACTTAATGACGGTCAGTGATGTGTACATTTTACATCTTAAATTTCAATTTAAAGCTTTCGTGACTGCAGGGATTCATCTTCTTGGTTCTTTCGGTAAAGTCACGTAGAAGGGAAATAAAATAATAAAAATAAAACATAATAAAATATTATAAAATACTAAATATAAAAAATAATAAAATATTATTTATTATGTTTTATTTTTATTATTTTATTTCCCTTCTACGTGACTTTACCTAAAAAACCAAGAAGATTTTACATCTTGTTGTTTCCTCTAGCTACTCTACATTTCCTCACAAATGCCAATTACCCTCGCTTAACTGACACCACCCAACACGGTGGCGTGCAGCGTAATATATCGATTAGGCTCGATTATTGCAACTCCTTTCGACGGGACACCTGCCAAAAACATTACCAAGCTGCAGCGTGTACAAAATTCGTTGGCACGGTGTCGTGACGGGCACTTCAAAATCCGACCGTGTCCGTCAAGTGCGCTCCGAGCTGCGTTGGCTTCCGGTCGCTCAACGAATCCATTGTCAAGTCTCACTCATTACACACCAAGTGCTCGCCACAAATGAACCACGATACCTCGCCGATTTCGTCAAGGCGCATAAACAATCATCACAAACTCCGGTCATCCTCGCAGCGGCTTTTGGCGATCGAACAAAGATGGTCACTGCATCGCGCGCTTTCAGATGCGCTTCTGCGGTCATCTGGAACGCTGTCTTCCCGACAGACCTGTTCTTCACCTGAGGACGGCTGCTTGCGTTGTGGCCGAAACGTCGTGAGAATTATTTAATTATGTTTTATTTTTATTATTTTATTATTTCCCTTCTACGTGACTGAATGAAACAGCACACGAGCTTGGAGCATATATATAAGCTGGGCGCATTGACAAAGGAATTTGCATATCAAAAGGAATTTAGCATATTTATGGGAAATGCAGGAATGTGATTAGTACTGCATATGCATGTGCATTATGCAGGATTAACAGCATCAAAGGGAGCTGCAGTTACTGCTGCTACAGCAGTTGCTGCTGCTACAGCAGTTGCTGCTGCTGCTGCAGTTTCTGCTGCTGCTGCAGTTTCTGCTGCTGCTGCAGTTGCTGCTGCTGCTGCACTTGCTGCTGCTGCTGCAGTTGCTGCTGCTGCTGCACTTGCTGCTGCTGCTGCACTTGCTGCTGCTGCTGCACTTGCTGCTGCTGCTGCACTTGCTGCTGCTGCTGCACTTGCTGCTGCTGCTGCACTTGCTGCTGCTGCTGCACTTGCTGCTGCTGCTGCACTTGCTGCTGCTGCTGCACTTGCTGCTGCTGCTGCACTTGCTGCTGCTGCTGCACTTGCTGCTGCTGCTGCACTTGCTGCTGCTGCTGCACTTGCTGCTGCTGCTGCTGCACTTGCTGCTGCTGCTGCACTTGCTGCTGCTGCTGCTGCACTTGCTGCTGCTGCTGCACTTGCTGCTGCTGCTGCTGCTGCTGCACTTGCTGCTGCTGCTGCAGTTGCTGCCTTATCCATTTTAATATAACACTATGTATTATTCTACCCACCCTAATGTGTATCATACTGTGTATCATACGAATGAACCCAAGAGTATAAAATGGTTTACGCGTAACGCGGCACTTTTCAGGAACGCATCGACCGCGTTAAACAAGGACTCGCTATGGGTAAAACTACGGCCGGCTGTTCGTGGGAACGCTCAAGCAGCCGTGATGACCACCACCAAAAGTCGTCATCCACCCAGGTCTGCTGGCAGCAACATCGTTACTCCTTGGCATAGTTTTCTCGAGGAAAGCCCCTCATGCTGGAGAGGTCACAGATCACTATACAGTAACCATGAGAATTGGACTTACAAAAAACGTATTTGATCGTATCACTCAATGTTCCATTCTGTCAGACATATTTTAAAAACCTCACATCTCTTCAGATTTTAATCTGTGCACCGAATGCATCAGGACCTTTCCGACACACACCAGCTCATAAAGCCGGATGGGTCACATGCCAGCCACTCAGTGTGCTCAGTTGCTTGATCCTGGCTGTGAATATTGTTGAACTTCTGTATCGCAAGGACTCTACCTACCTTCCGTACTGGACTGCTGTCACAACACGATGCTACGCTTATAATCCCAGCTACGTGGCCACGTGCCTTCGACCTCATAAGTGCTCAAATAAAATTCCTCAACTAAACTACGTCCGTCCGAACTGATTTTTTTCGCACCACGCATTTTTCCAGAATCTCGGTAAAAACCCATTTCACAACAAAATGACACGGAGCCAACAGATGAGGCAAAACACGACAACTTGTGAATGCAACGTTGATCAGCGGAATGTTGCCAAAAGCCCACCGATAAAAATTCCCGGTGTAGCGTGTAGACGATGCAATGCAAACTGCAGTTTCGATCAGGATAAAGATCAAAGGTGTCCGGGGATGCCGACAACAAATCGCTACCTGGACAGGAATTCTATGGCAGGGGTAGGGGGGGGCGAGGTTTGGCGCGCAACTTAATTTCATATGGCCACAAGGCCGTCCAAAAACAATATTTACCCATCACTGCGAGCATCTTTAGCTGCACTGAATGGATACCAGAGGGACATTTTTATAGCCTGAAAACTTCTGTTATTGCAAGGGTTTCCTGCAGTGAGAAGGGACAATGACAGTTGAAAGGTCGTGGGAGGTCAAAATCCCGACCTTGACGCCTGCTGCTGCATATTTGGAGTTTGCGTGTCTCTCTCTCTCCCCTCTTGGTCACGTGGATTTTTCCTCCGGGTCCCTCCGGGTTTTCCCCCCCTCCGCGTTTTAGAACGAAGCGCGTGTTTATTGGCTGCCAGAAGTGTTCCACGCGATGACGACAAAAACCACTTCATATTCTTGGTTCTTTCGGTAAAGTCACGTAGAAGGGAAACAATAAAAAAGTCTCGTAGAAGGGAAACAAAATAATATTCATTTGATTTTATTGTTTCCCTTCTATGTGACTTTACCAAAAGAACCAAGAAGATGAATCCCTGCAGTCACGAAAGCTTTAAATAAAAATTTAAGAACCACTACGTTGGAGCCATCATTTGTGACGGCCAGGTCGCTTCTGAGGAAGAGCTACGTAGCTCAGTGGGGCCCTGACCTGGTAAAACGAATAAGTATAACCCGTAAAAACAAAGTTTTTCACTCTAAATCCTTTATATGCGTGGCAGCTAGAGTCCTCTCGTCCTCTGGCTTGAGATGGCTGCCACCTATGGGTCAGATGATTGTCTGCCATTATTAAGCAATTGGTAATTAAATATATAATTTGTTTTCCCTAAAGAGTGTAAAATTTCACGAACATTAATTGTCTCGCACAACGAGTCTGTGTGCAAAATGTCAGCTCGATTGGATCACGGGAAGTGGGTTAAAAAACGACCAAAAGATTTGCACGGTCGTAAGCAAGCAAGCAAGCACGCAAGCACGCAAGCGAACTTAATATAAAGGATTTAAAAATTGTTCAGTAGTTTTAGTTTAGAAAGTCCTATTCAGTCCTCAGGAAGAAAAATGTCCCCCCCCCCCATTACCCGTCTTCTGGTCTCCTGCACAATGCCACCCCCCTCCCCCCCCATTTCCAGCAGACTCTGCGACCGACCGTGATGCAAATGGGAAAATCGACACAAGGCAACTTTTTTTTGTTTCCAACGGGCTGGAGTTAATCTACAACGCACATTCACCCCCCCCCCCCCTCCGGCTCA